GAATAACTTACATGTCATTGGAATTCCAGAACAGGAAGAGAAAAACAAAACCACTGAGAAAATTGTCCAAGATTTGCTGGAGGAGAACTTCCCTGACATGATGAAAGATGAGAATGTATCCATCCAGGAAGTCCAACGAACCCCAAACAGGATAGACCCCAAAAGAGAAGAAATTAGCACTGCTTCTAGTATCTTCATGCTTTCCTTCCACTGAAATGATTGAGCAAGTCACTAGGAGGTGAGAATTTATACTGTAGGGCCATGAGTTCCATCTCTATAGTGGCCAATGCCTTTCACTCATGAATAATAAGAAAACAGTTATTCATAGAAGCCAGCAGGAGCAGGGCTCTGGGCTGATGTCTCCACCTTGAAGGCATTCAGACTGTCTTAGACTTGAATTATGAATGTGGACTCCAGAGCTTTGCCAGCTTCTGCAGAGATCTCACCACCCCAGGAGGACCCTTTTGATGAGCATGTACATAGAATCAGAGCTTTCTTTTTTCTAATTTTTATTGTGATTTAGGTGAAAGTTTACAGAGCAAATTCATTTTCCATACAGCAATTCATACACATTTTGTTTCATGACATTGACTGCAATTCACCACAATGTAACAGCTCTCTTCCCGCTTCCTCCCTGTAGTTACCTCTTCCCTGTGTTCTTTCCTATGCATTCCTGCCCTCTGAGCTATCTTCCTGTGCAAATACTGCTCTTCTGTTCTCCCATGATTGATTGCTCCAAGGAGTATATCTACCTGATGTAAATGTTCACCCCATATGCCTGTCTATTGTTTGGCTGGAAGTCTTGGAATTGAATTCAATTCCAGACCTGAAGGGTAACTAGGGGCCATAGTGTCAGGGATCTCACCAGGCTCTATCAGACCAGCAAACCTGATCTTTTTTTATGATTTTTTAAAAATAATTTTTATGAGTTTTGTTCCACAATATTCTCCCACTCTATCCAGGATCTCCTGCACTGATCCCTTTCCAAGTGGTTGACAATGGGAGCCAGGCACCATCTAGTTCTTCTGGTCTCGTGGTCATATAGGCTGAGGATCATATGGTCTCCTAGTCCCATGGACCAATTGTTTCCATGTGTCTTTGGTTTTCTTCATTCTTCTCTGCTCTGGATGAGGAGAGACCCATAGTTGGATTTAGATGGCTGCTTGCAAGGTTTTTTAAAATACATTTTATTGAAATATAATTATGTACAGTGAAATACACAAAACTAAAGTGACATGGGTCAATACATTTTTTTGGGGGGAGGGTAGTGTTCCTTCCCTTCCCCTTCCACCCCTGGTAACCAACAAAGAAAGTTTCCTTTCATATATAAACCTTTCCTTGACTTTTTACTATAATTAACTAGTACTATATTTGTCCTTCTGTGATTGACTTATTTCACTCAGCATAATGTCCTCTAAGTTCATCCACGTTATGCAGTGTTTTACAGATTCTACATTATTCTTTAAGATTGCATAGTATTCCATTGTGTGTATGTATCATAGTTTGGTTATCCATTCTTCTGTTAATGGGAACTTAGGTTGTTTACGTCTTTTTACTGTTGTGAATTGTGCTGTAATGAACATGAGTGTGCATATATCTGTTCTTGTCCTGGCTCTCACTTCTTTAGGATATATACCATATAATGGGATTGCTAGATGAAATGGTATTTCTAATTCCAAATTTTTAAGGAATTGCCATACTGAAAATCAGGCCCCTATCGTATCACAGAATTTACACTCAGGTTATCAAATCGCCCTTAAAACTTTTGAGATTGTTGGAAATTAGCATTAAGATAAGGAATATGTGTATTTTAATGTATTATTTCAGTTTTTTTCCTTTGATATTTGCCAACTGGAAAAGTTGATAGATGGTAGAAGAAAAGGAAACAGGAAATTAATGTGCATTTGAATGACTAATTTTTATTTTGCTTTTCCATTTATAGGAGAGCGATATGTGATGACATTTTTGAATGTGTTAAATTTTGGCGATCAGGGTAAGTTGAAATTCTGTAGTGTTTTAATTAAAGGTGAATACCATTAATAGATACTTCCTAATACCTTTCTCTGTAGTTTGATATATTTAATGAAAATGAACCTTTCATTTCATGAAAATTGTGAATTATAGGTCTTATAAATATATGCAGTGTACTGAATACCCCCACAATGTGACTTGGGTGGCAGGTTCCCTGTTGAGATCCCCTGTCTTCTACTGTACTTCCTGCAGAGCTCTGATGCTCACATTGAGGGATGGAAGATGCTAGGATCCTAGCACAAAGTAAGATGTAGCTAGATAAGTCTCTCCAAATATTTCTTTTTAAATTTTATTTACTTTGTTTTTGTTGTTGAGAATATACACAGCAAAACATAAACCAGTTCAACAGTTTCTGTGTGTACAATTCAGTGACATTGATTACATTCTTTGGGTAGTACAACTGTTCTCGCTCTCCTTTTCTGAGTTCTGCCTCCCCCATTAACATAAACTCACTGCCTGCTAAGGTTCCTATCTCTAATCTTTTGAGTTGCTGTTATCCATTTGATCTCGTATAGATAGTTCTTAAAAGAGCATAATGCGAGACTTCCAGTAAGATGGAGGAATAGGCAGACAAGTGACACAGACCCTCTTCAACAAGGAAAAGAAAAACTGATTGACAGAGTTACAGAAGATAATCCTGGAGCCCTGAGCTTTGAAAGGAACTATACAGAAGTGGATTAGGCACCAACTAGTGGAAAAACCTGAAGGAAAATAATGAGTACAGAGATAGAGCTGCGGACTATCAGTTGCTCCAATGGGACCAACAGCCTGAGTATTTCCAAGTGATGTTGGGACCTGAGAATTGACCTAAAGATCAGCCTTGGTCACCAAGGGCTGCAGGGACAACTGCACTGGTGGCCTATGACTAGGAAGGGAAACAGCAACGTAGGGGACAGCCTGAGCTGTTGACTTTCCACTGTCCAGAGGGTGCAGCCATTTTGATTGTTTACATGTGGAAGCCATTTTAGATATTTAAAGTGACCAAGGGCACAGCCATTTTGAAAGTTTACAAGCAGCAGCCATTTTGGATATTTAAAGTGACCAAGGGCACAGCCATTTTGAATGTTTACAAGCAGCAGCCATTTTGGATATTTAAAGTGACCAAGGGCACAGCCATTTTGAATGTTTACAAGCAGTGGTCATTTTGGATATTTAAAGGGGAGCTCTGGTAGCATAGTGCCTAAGGCACTTGACAGCTAACCAGAAGGCTGGTGGTTCATACCCACCAGCCATTCCTCAAAAGGAAGATAGGGCAATCTACTTCCATAGTGATACTGCCTCAGAAACCCAAAGAGGGGTCGCTATGACTCGGGTCCAACTCGACGGCACATAACAACAACAACAACAAAGTGACTGAGGGCACAGCCATTTTGAATGTTTACAAGCTGTGGCCATTTTGGATATTTAAAGTGACCGAGGGCGTAGCCATTTTGAATCTTTGTAAGTGGCAACCATTTTGGATTTTAAAGTTACAGCATTCTCATTTGGATTCCAGGGACCTAAGAATAGGCTCTGTTTGCCAAGATTGGCAGGGCCATATGAGAGGCTGACAAGAAAGAAGACAGGTGGTGAGTGTATAAGTGCTGCCCACTAGCAAATGAGTAGCATAGCACAGTACCCTACATGCATAGATAACATGCAAAGAAAACAAAACTCGTGGGCAAGTCACTCCAACATGCAATCACCAATTAAATATAAACACAAAAACGTCACAATGCCTCGAAGACAGCAGAGCATCACAGACCACACAAAGAAGCAAGATAAAGCAGGAGAAACAAAGGACCAGGATACAGACCCCCAAAACACATCCTTGAGGAAAACATAGAACTGGAACTCCCTGATAAGGAATTCAAAAGAATTATATTTAGGTATCTTGAGTGAATTGAGAGGCAGTTCAAGGAAAACACAGAGAAAACCTAGAACAGTTTTGAAAGACAATACAAGAACAAAATGACAAAATAAATGAAAAATTATAAATGATACAAAATCTATACACAGAAATCCAGAAGATTGATACTGAATTTTTAGAAATAGATAAGATATTAAGTGGGCAAAGGAACAGAACTGAATAAATGGAAGACAGAATTATTGAGATTGAAGGCAAATACCTGAACACTTCTTTGGAAAGGGATAAATCAGAAAAGATAAAAACAAAATGAAGAAAGCCTAAGGTTCACGTGGGATACCATCAAAAGGAGTAACCTACATGCCATCACAATTCCTGAACAGGAAGAGACAAATAAAACCACAGAGAAAATTGTCAAAGATTTGTTGGAAAAGAATTTTCCTGGTATGATGAAAGATGAGAATATATCCATTCAGAAAGTCCAACAAACCCCAAACAAGATAGACCCCAAAAGAAAATCATCCACACACATCATCATTAAACTTAGCAAAACCAAA